CAGACTCAGATCCAGGCCTGGAGCATGAAGGGACTGGTCCTGCAGAACCATAGCCACAGAATCTCCATGACTCTGGGCAACAGGAGGATATCCAAGGTGAGGGTCAAGTGTTGATGATGTAGCAGAAGCTAGAGGCCTTGAATCAGACCAATGACTCGTAGCAATGAACCTTTGCAAGTAAGGCTATTTGTGCAAAAGGGTGTACTGTGTGGCACACCACACTCCTGGTGCCACTAGGATGCGATGGAGAGGCAGGAAAGACGGACGGGTGGAGAGGCACAACATGGCGGAACTGGAGACTCCGCAACTGTGATGGCGTGAGAGAGGCTGCAGTTGGGAGAGGAGCGGGAGCTGCCCAGAGGGGTTGGTGAGATTTCTTTTCTTTCTTGCTTATTGTTTTAATTTTAATTTTAATTTTTTTGTTTTTGGGGAGAGTAGAGGTTATAAGGTTGGAGGGAAGCTGTGGAAGGACTGGAAAGTGAGTGGGATTGGGATTCATGATGTGAAATTACCAAAGAATCAATTTTTAAAAGTTTCAAAAATCATATATATGTGTGTGTGTGTGTGTGTGTGTGTGTGTGTGTGTGTGTACATATTCATAACATATATACAAAATATAATATATATTGCATGAAAAAATAAGTAGAAAGATTAAAAAGAGAGAAAGAAACCATTCTTGGGTTTAATTGGCAGACTACCACACTGGAAACCTGTGACTCAGTCTTTCTGAGAACCTCCGAGACATGATGTATAATATCTAAGAGTAGCCCCAGCCAATAGGTGAAGAGCCCAGGCATTCCTCCTCCAATACCAGCACCCACTTGTCTCCAGTAGACAAGCCCTGCCACCAAGGTATTAACCTCCCAGGACCTCTGACCTGCCTTCCTGGCATTTCTTTCTGCTGAGAGGAAGCACTCAGCTGAAGAACCACAGAAGATGACGGTAAAAAGCCACCAGCGTGCACAGCGATGTCAGGTGCCCTGGAAATGCAAGCACATCGGTGGGGTCTGCTGCACGGTGGAACAGACTGCAAAGCAGAAGGCTTCGCTGGGAACAGAAAGGGTTTCTGTAGAAAGACTCAAGCTGCCATTCACATGTAATGTGGAACCGGAATAAACACACAGCACCCCTCACAGTACAACATCAAACTACATAAATCAAAACTGATAGACCTAAATGAGAAAATAGCACATACACAGCTGCAGCAGGCCCCAACTTACTTGTCTCATTAACTAATAGAGAAGGGAATCAAAACAGTACTGAAGATGGCAAAGACCCGAACAGCAGGCACAGCTAACTTAGCTAACACAGACAAAGAGACTGCTGTCTAACGGCGTCAAAATACTTTTCAAGTATAAAAATATATTTTATAAAAACTGACATGTCATACACTTTACAACTAATATTGCCCAAAATAATGTTTTCTAGCCACAATCCACATGCAAATTAATAGCTAACAGACCGTGGAAATCCTACATACACAGAAATTAGAAATATGTTTTAAACAACCTGTAGAGCAATGTTTTTAAATCACAATGATAATTTTGAATATTTTTAATTAATTGTAATGAAAATATGAAACATTAGAGATTATCATAAATCATTAGTTGTGCAAAAATGAAAATCTTCTGTCTTAAGTACATATAAGAAAAGTCAGATCATCTCAAGAAATAAAACAGAGCAAATCAACACCAGTTGTTCTGGTTAGATTTTTATCAACTGGACACAAGCTAGTGTCATTTGAAAAGAGGGAACCTCAACTGAGAAAAGGCCCCAACCAGACTGGCTTGTGGGCAAGCCTGTGGGACATTTTCTTGGTTAATAATTGATGTTGGGGAACTGCCCAACCCTTTGTGGGCAGTGCCAACCCTCTGCAGATGGTCCTGAGCTGGACCAGCCATGAAGTTCAATCCAGTGAGCAGCGTTTCTCCCTGGCTCTGCTTCAGCCCCCTCTTCCAGGTTCCTGCCCTGAGCTCCTTCCCTGGCTCTCCTTACTGATGAGGTCTGACCTGAAGGTTGTGAGCTGGAGTGAGTCCTTTCCTCCCCAAACTGATTTTTGTTATGGAATTTATAGCAGCAATAGAGGAAAACCAGCAACAGCAAAAGGGGTAATGTGACCAGTACATACGAAAACAGAGATTAGTAAAATAAAAAAGCATTAGTAGAAAGAACCACAGAGCCAGAAATTATTTCATGAAATATTTAATAAATTGGCATTCCTTGATATTTCATGAAATATTTCAAAATTGATCAAGAAATAGAAAGTGAATCAAAATTATACATTAAAAATATGAGTGACTGTACTGTCAGGGCTTTCTTTATCCTTGTAGGTCTTCGCATACATATTATGGTTTCCGGTTTTATGTTTTTATGGATTTCTATGTGTGTGAATGTGTGGGTCTCTGAATCTATATGTGTTCCTTGAGCTTTTTCTTTGCCTCTGTTTTCTACTGTTTGTTTGTGGTTTTCTTTTATTCTAGTTTATTTTAATTTTAATCTATTTTTTTATATATAGATTCCTGTTTGTATCCTAATGAGAGAAAGAAAGACATTTTGGTGGAGTAATGGGGAGGAACTAAAAGGACTTGTGGAAGGGAAAACATAATCAGAATACATTAAAAATTACTTTTAAAATATTAAAGTTTTATTAAAAATTATTTTCCATTAAAAATGATAGGTGCATCATAAAGGTCACAGAAATAAGAATATCTTTACATGATATTTTGAGCTACATATTAATATATTTTCCTTTCTTATTTATTTGCAGTGTTAGAGATTAAGCCTAGATTTTTGCGTATTTTAGGCAGACACTCTACAACTGAACCTCATTTCTCCACAGAAAAAGAAAGGCTTTCTCCCAAAGCCTCAGGCTTACAGTCCAGCCTTATCCTCTTCAGCTCACTGATTACTGTTGAGTTTGGCCACTATAACCCTACCAAACTGAAAAATATAGAAAATATAAGTCAGTATGGTTCAGAGTCAGAGGCCCTGGTCCTTGGATTCAATGCCAAGCACAAGAAGAAAGAGGAAGAAATCAAAATAATTGTGTAACGATTTAAAATTTAAATTTATAATTACAGCTTTTACAAATAATATATCTTTATAGAAGTTATATACATATACATACTATAATGATGAAGTCTACTGTACTATCTGGAAATAAGAATTTATTGTTATTCTGTTTTTATGTTTATGTGATTAATAACTATTTTATTTGTGATTGATTTATTCATAATTAATTTTATGAATTTAACATAATCATGATTTGAAAACCTGCCAAGTCAAAGACAAGAGAACTTCGGGGTGTTGACTCTATGAGTAGGAAATGCAAAACTGCTATGCCAGATGTTCTCAAACCCTACTTAAGCATACAATAAGAAGAGCCACGTGTCATGAGCAAAACATGGCTCTCCCGGGATGGGACTCTAAGTCAGCATCTGCAAATCCAGCAAACAGTGGACAAGTGATGGAACAAGGAAGAATCAGGTGTTCAAATTAAAGAATCCATGAATATATTTACTTGATAAAGTTAAATATCCATATGTAACTCAAAACTGAAAGTTGTAATATAGTAGAAATTAGGAAAAAATAGCCTTATTTAACAAGTCATACAGGAAAGCCTACTATAAACACACTACTTTAATTGTAAGGGAGAAACATCACTTTCAAAGTCAGAAATGAGGTCGAGCATCCCTAGTACCCTCAATTCCATTCAGCTTTATATAGGGATTCTTAACCAGCATGAAAAGGCAGAAAAAGATACTCTCAGAGTCATGAAGATTGGATGAGACACGTTGAGTCAACAGTATACTTGTGTGTGTGTATATATACACACAAGTATATATATGTGTGTGTATACAGTATATATATATATATATATATATATATATATATATATATATATTCTAAAACAGTGCTGTCCCAGAATCTGCCAGTTGCCAACAGATCAACCATAGGTGGTGGGGGCCCTGTGAGTGTCTTTCCCCATCCAAAGCTGGCTGGTAGGGGTGCTGATTCCTCAACAATTCTTTATTCTCAACATCTGCATCTTCACAAGAAGAAGCATCTCAATTTATGACTGAGAGTAGCCTTTGTCTGTGGGTATAAACATGGGTATTTAGGGGTGGCTTCATGCTGTGTAAATTTATCTAAGAACGATTTTTAATCGTTCATATTCAGTATTCATATATTAAAATAGTATCTTTCCACATTCTAGAAAGAGTAGAATAATACACTTTTAAACTCTATATTTATAATAACTACAAAATATAAAATATCTACAATGTGTAAGAATATCATACAATCAGGAAAATGTTTGTTATGCAAGCATGAGCACCTGAGCTTCATTTCCCTGTAACCCATGTGAAATAAGTTGCCATGGTAACCCACATTTGAACCCCTGACATTGGGGAGGCAGAGACTGGGGTATCCCTAGAGTCTTTGGCTGATCTAGCCTAGCCTAATTGGTGAGTTCCCATCTCAAAGTAAGGAGGATGGTACCTGAGGAACATGCACGCATAAACATGCATGCACACGCACGTGCACACACACACATATGCACAAACATATACACATACATAAAAATAATGGGGCACGCAAATAACTACAGTAGACATTTCTCCAAGAAAATGCAGGAATGTAAATAAGCGCAGAAAAGATGTCAAAGTCATAAGTCATCAGGAAAAAGTCAGTCAAACCCCTCATACCCATTACAGTAACTATTACTAAGAGAAAACTTTAAAAATAAGTACTGGTGAGAATGTGAAGAAATTATGAGTGTTGTTTATTCCCAAAGAACATGAAGTGGTACAGACAACACAGAAAAAAAAATCTAGCATCTCCTGAAAAAAGTTAGAAACATAATTACCATATGACCCTAGCTATTGTATTCTTTGTACACCCTAGAAATCAGGGACTCAGAAGCCCAGACACCTACATTGGTAACAGCTTTAATTCATAATATGTAAAAGACAGAAACAACCCAAGCACGCTCAACAGACCTGGTGATCAAATGAAGAGCTCACATGCAGTGGAATAGTGACCTTTCATGATCTTCGAATGCATGTTGTAACACAGATGAAACCTGAGAAAGTATCCTGAGTTGAATAACCCAGACACAGAAGAACAAAGATTGTACTGCCACTTACAAGAGAGATTCAGAACATGAGCAAACTCATGGAGACAGAAAGGATTAGCCTGGACTAGGAGAAGTGGGATGGTGAGAAATTGTTTAACCGTTACAAAGCTTCTATTTTTAAATAAACAGGCGGCAAGTAGACAGTTGAAATCATTGCACAATACCGTAAGCATGTCCCACACCCCTGAACTGCATATTTTCAAGCGGTTAGAATGGTTTATATTTGTAGCTTTAAGCATATTTTTTGGTGTAGTACTTGACATGGAACACAACCCTGTATATACTAGGCAAGTGCTCTGCCATCCATGCCCTTACAGGTTAGTCATTAAGGCTCTTTCTCATTCTGAAACAACTCTGGTTGGAGCCCAGGAGAGCCAGTCACACAGACGTCGCCTAAAATGTTTGCTCAATAGTTGATCAGTCAGTACATTTCTTGGATGGCGAGGTCATTCATTGCTTACATCTGCGGGGAAGGGAATGGGAGAGAAGCAGAGAGACAAGCATTTAGTACCTACTCCACTGCGAATGCTGCTGAAGTCTTTTCATCCTTAAAGATTCCTGTAGCTCAGAAAGAGCTCACTGCTATCATCAGAACCCCAGATGGGCATCCTGTTTTCTTCAGTTACTGTTTACATTTTCATATTGCATCATCTTCATATGTATCAGGAGGCCAGCATGGGACATGATTTTTCCGTAACTAGGAGTTGGTTTTCCTCTAGGTAGCGTCTATGGCACAAGGTGAGCTCCAACAGCAACCATAGCCAAGAGGTTACCTTGAAGTCACGTGAGAGAGTGAGAGAGCTCACAGGCCTGAACTTCTCCAGGTTATCTGCCCCACTGGCATTCCACGTAAGAGCAAGGGATGGCTTCATCAGCAAAGCACCAAACGGACTCAATTGTTTGTTTCTGTGTTAATGTGCCAACCTTGGCCATCGGTTGGGGTAGAGTAGTGAGTGTTAGTATTCAAGCATCTGTACTGGCCTGGTCTTGGGGTATATTCCTTAGCTGTAGCCACTAAGAGTACCCCCATGCACATTCACTACGTTCCCTTTTAAAAGGGCCCTGCCCACCTCCCATTTCCCATCTCTCTCCCTTTCTCTCTCTGTCTCCATCTCCCCCCCCCCTCTCTTTTGCTACTCCTGTTCCCAGAGGCTGGTCACCCCTCTCCCTTCCTCCTCTTCACATTCACTTCCCCCCAGTAAAAAACCCTCCACCTGAGGTCTGTCACATGGCATCTTTCTCTCTCGTGCCACTTTTTTTTTTAAATTACAACAGTGGGGGCACAGACACATGAAGACTAACGAGAGCGCTAAATCAAGAATTACCATCAGGAAAGGCTGGTGCAGAACACATACAGGGATTATACTGGAAAGTGAGAAAGTTAGCAACTGTCTGCCATAACGAGATAAAAGCAAGCAGTCTTCCAGGCATTCTTTGCCATAAATGATTCCAGTTCTTTAATGTTTACCTGTTGCTTGGCTTTAAATAATAAAAGCAGAAGTGTTGTCTAGAAGCCCAAGGGACTGGAGGACAAAGCCCAGATCTACAACTTACCGTACATATTATCTTGGCAAGTCGTGTCATGTCTCTGGAACTCAGTTTCATCCCCTGTAAAATGATGGCTTGCTGGAGGCTTTGTATAATGTAGTCCTGGACACTGATGCCTGGATACCAACACTGCCTACACCCGCTAGGTGTGGCACCTTCGGAGGCCTCTTCACTCTCTTGACTTTCTTTCCTCAGTGGAAAATGATGGTGGATCTCTACATTCAAAGTAATTAAAGAAGCTAATGCTTCTGGAATCCTTGGAATTGTATTATAATAAAAGTCGAATAAAATTTAAACGGGTGATACTATGAGAGTTCAATTTTCTTTTTCTAGAAATAGCCTCCAGAGATTTTAAAACATTATAGAAATTTTCTGAATTTTCTGATTTTCTGAAGTTTACCTTTGCTGAATGAGTCCACTTAATGTAAAATTTTAGTGTAAACTTTCTTAACAGAAACTTTAAAGGAGAAATGTCTTTCCAGGGAGCTAATTATCAAGACACCCCTTGGAGCATGCATACTACTAAATATAATTAGTAATAAGAAGAATTAATAATAATAAAGAGCTTTTAAATCCTTTAATACTTTGAGGGTTTTTTTTTTCAGGCAATTACCAAAACCGAATCAATATCACTTCAACATCAATATCACTTCAACATCAATATCACTTCCAGAAAGAATAGAGAAGCCATGCTACCTACTGACACAATTGTTGAAGTGGGATGTGCTGTGATAAGCTGGTTCAGCCTGACCATGTCTACTGTCTAGAATAATGGTTAAGTTATGGGAGCCAAGGCCCCGAGGGTGTTGGGACCTGAACAATGATGGGAGGCTCTGTCTACAGTTTTCTGCCCTGGGTGTTGTCCTCCTACCTCAACTTTGCTCCCTCCATGGCTTCCGAAACTATATTCTCACTAAAAGCTCAAATAAAAACCCCAAAGTAAAAGTTCAAACAATGAGTTACTCAAATTGACTGTCCATTCTTGTTTTGGCCTGTAGTCATAAATATACTTTTCTGTTTTCTGCTCAGTTGGTATATGATACATAGAAAAATTGATCACTTTTGACTCCCTATAAGAGAAGGCAGTTCATTCACTCATCAATTACACTTTTATTTGATTATGTTAGAAAGTATGTGTTTCATAATATAAAGTTTCAAACAACATTGATGACACTTCTAGAAAACCTTATTCTACTTTATAATATTCGTCAAGTAAAACACAAAGTGATTTAGGAATTGATACATTCTATTAGACCACCATGCCCCAAGCCCAAGGCTCATAACCTAAACTCCATGGACAGAATACATACAAGGCGTCCAGGAATTTGATACAACCTAGTCAAAAACATTTTATTTTAGACATTTCTTTAGTTCCCTCTTCTTAAAAGTTTTTAATCCCCTCTCATGGTCCAACTCCAAAGACCTAAATACCAAATCATTTGGTTTAATCACAGCAAAGACCTCACTTCACTGTTTGCAATTCAAATGCTCTAGCAGAGCCAGAGCGGTGGTGGTACACGCCTTTAATCCCATAATCTCAGCAGAGACAAAGGCAGGCAGATCTCAGTGAGTTCAAGGCCAGCCTAGTCTACAAATGCGGATTACAGGACAGCCAGGACTGTTACACATAGAAACCTGTCTGGGGAGGGGGAGCAATTTTTTGTATTAGTTACTTTCACTTGACTGTGACGACCAAAATAAGTGATGAGAACAGCATAAAGGAGGGAGATTTATTTTGTCTCAGGCCTCAGCATTGCCATCCACCATGGTGAGAAAGACAGAGTAGCAGTAGCATATGTGTAGCTGTACATAACCTGGCAATCCAGCAAGCAGTGAGCAGCCAGAACCAGGGCCCAAGCTGAAACCTACAGAAGCACATCTCTAAGGATTAACTTTACCAGTCAGACGCTACCTCCTAGAATTTCATATCCTTCCAAAACAACAGTGTGCCAGCAAGGGACTTGATGCCCAAAATGTAAGAAGGAGATTAGATTCAGAACACAATCATTATATATCTTGGAAAGTATCATACATTTTTCAGTTTTCCTGTACTTCTGAATCAGTGTTTCTCTATCTGGTAAAATGGATCTCTCTACCACTTTTATGAGGCAATATTCTTAGTAAATCACTTGGTAATTCAAAAGATAAAACTGGGAATAGCAGTTTGTTATGCAACATTTTGTTCTATCTGGGCACTATCATGTAATCTCTCCATATAACCTCTTTGTGTCTGATTAGCAAACTAGGGCACAGTCCCTACTGTATGGGGGTTGTAGAAACTCACTATCTCTACACAAGAGTTCAGGCAGTGGGTATATACAAAAGCAGTCTAGGCAGGTGTGGTGTAGGTAGAAGAATATGAGTCCTGTATGACTAACCCTGCAATGCAAGTGTTGGCACCTACTGAGTTTGGGGACACTATTGAGATTGGCTCTTATTTGAATGAACTTCTGGTATTGGCTTCAGGAATAGTGAAGGAATTTGACCATCTGTCCTCTACACACTTCCCAGGTTTGGGTGTACCACCAGGGAAAGGCAAAAGTAAAGTCCTGGCACCCTCTTTGTGAGGCCTACATTCCATCTTGACAGCACTGTGTGTCATCCACCAAGGTGCAAGGACGGTGCGTGCCAGTGGCTCACCCACATGCAGATGCAAAAACGATCCTGCTCCCACCACTACCATGTGTGGGCATGACTCACCAGTGTCAGGATCAGAGTCTCCCTAGATGTGCATGCTGAGGACAGGGTGATAGCTTGGAGTTACAAGCCTTCCCTACCCGTGATTCGATTCTTCTAGTTACGGTGACCATTAGAGATCAAGCAAGAAAAGTCATGGCTAAAGATTAACAGAATTCATGTCAATTGAGGTGCTCCACTGGACAGGGCAAAAGAAGAATGTAGTAGACACTGGACATGGTTTCTCTCCAGAGCGCCTTAGGCAGCGAACCCTGAGGGAAGAGTGACTGGCATCTGAGCTCAGTGCACCTTCCCCATTCTCTGCCTCAGTTTCTTTTATTTGAAATGCCTACCGGGGATTGTTTAGGAGTAGGTTGTGGCTGAAGCCAGGCAACCCTCCTCTTAGCTAACATGCTCCTAGGAGCAAGGGAAAACAGAGTACAGTCAGCTGTCTTACTCTACACCATCTTAGACTGTGCTTGGCACAGCGATAGTCAAGACTTGGACATCTTGCTCAAAACATCCCAGTATGCCTCTGGAGGCAATGGAGCAGTGAAAATTGAGCAGGTGTCCATGGGGTGAGAGATGACAAGGGCAAGCAGGAAGCTTCCCTCTGTCCTGGTACCCATGTGGATCTGCAGATGACCGACCACCTCTGTGGCCTTAGAGGACAAGTGTTCCTTAGATGATACCCTGTGGTCCCATCTATATCGTAACACCTGCTCCTTCCTAAGTGCTATGCTCAGTGAGTGGTGGCAGAGTCAGGCCCAGCCTAGCTTGTGAGTCAGCCACCAGCTCGGTCTGGGTGTTGGTGTGTCTCTGGGGCCTGAGATGGGAATATATAGGAATTCCTAGCCCTAAAGCAGTCCAAATTCAGGCAGTAGGACCTCTCTTAGGGTGGTTCAAGGCTACAGGGGAGTACTCTCCTACATTGAGGAGTTCGCTCAAGGTGAACTCATCTTCTAGAGCCAATTAAATGTGTATATGTCAGCGCCTCTTACCTTTATAAGTCTGCAAGGGCTGTGAAACTTTTCCAAATAGAGCAGTCCCTATCCAGATCTGCATTAACGGTGTTCACTGGAGCTCACTCACCTTTCCTCCTGTGGAAGGGAAACCCCTCCCCCAGCTGCAGAAGGTGGCAGCTGTGATGGGATACTGTGTTGGTCGTGCTGCACGGATGTGTAAGACCGTGCTGGCTGCCATTGTTCAGCAGTCACAACCACTAGAATGGGTACACACCACCCTGGGGGGCACTCCCAGAGCGTACTCTCTAGTCGATCAAATAGCTGATATGATCTTAAAAATCAGGGACATGTCCCTCCGACATTATGGAAAAGATCCCTCTAAATTAATAATTTCATTCAAAATTTAAGGACTTAGAATAGGTGGCCAGATATTGTTCTCAATTGAGCCTTGCTCTAGAGGGATTTCTGGGGACCCTGGACACCCACTTTGGGGAGTCCAGGTTAGGGAAGCTGTATCAAAAACTACACTGGAGAGTCCCCTTAGTCTTTTCTTCTAGGTCCCTGCCCCAAGCATTCACTGTTTACACAGATGACAGGAAGAATGGGGCTTCCTTTGTAGTTCTCTCTGCACAGGGGACCAAGACAAAGATTACCAAAATTCTCCATTGAGGAGGATCCACTAAATAGAAGGAAATGATGGCCATATATATTGCCCTACAAGAGATCCCAGAACCCTGAAACCTCTATTCAGATAGCTCTTATGTGGTGAACCTACTACAACACTTACCCTCTGCCTATATCAGAATGGATGCTAATCCTATTCTGCCTTGATGATACAACTCTTAGAAGGTAGAAAAACCCGTATATATTCATCATCTCAGAAGACTCCCTGGCCTCTTTTCCCAAGGGAATGCTGCTGCGGATGCCACAGCTTCAGGGGCCTGTCTCGTAAAGGTCTCAACTCTTCCCATACAAAATGTTACCCAAATGCATGACTTAACTCATGTCAACTGGAGAGGACTTAAATGCCTATACTCCCAGATACCCAAAACAGAATTAAAGAGAATTGTTCATACATGTTAAAACTTGCCAAGAGTTTCTCTGTACCCCCCTTTTTCAAGGGACGGGGTGAACCCAAGAGGGTTAGGACCCAATATCATCTGGCAAACAATTGTAACACATTACCCTCCATTTGGCAAATTAAAATATATGTTTGTGACCATAGACATGTATTCTAAGGCATATTGGGCTTCCTACCATCCATTCAGGGGAAAAGGCAACCCATGCCAAAAGCCACGTCATACAGTGTTTTGCTACGTTGGGACTACCACAACAGGTCAAGACTGACAACAGCTCCTGTTTTATAGGTGATTGTCAAAAGACACCACCAATATCTCAAAGAGGTCCTTATAAAACAAAAAAGGGGGAGAAGTCTCCCCCCATCTACAATGGCAAAAGGCGTTATTAACCATCAATATTTTAAGTTTTCAAAAATCAGATAAACAAAATAGATTCCAGAAACATTGGGGATCCCTACCAACAAGGCTCTGCCTAAAGGTTAGGTGAAGGATCCTCTCACTAACCAATGGAGGGGTCCAGATTGACACAGGGCTGAGGATATGGATGTGTCTTTCCAAACAGAGGGGAAATGCCTATATGGCTACCGGCTCATAAATTCCTCCCCTCCCCTCAGGACAATGGGGAAGACCAAGATGATCAATAAAGAAAGAAAGATTATGGTAAACAACTCTTAAATTCAAACACAAGAAAGGAAAAATAACCACTGCCCAAGAGAGACTGATCCTTGAGGAAAGTAAGGAAATAGTTGATCTATTTCCAATGGCCTTCCCGGCGGTTATCATGTTAGCTCTTCTCATGGGGATCAAGGTCCAGACAGCAAGCCCCTACCAACCGCAGAAGGTGACATGGATCTTGTCAAGTACTGGCACTGGAGGGATCCTAAACCAGACTTCTCAGATGACAACACCCTGGACATGGTGATCTTACCTGATATTTGACCTCTGCAATTTGGTGCCCGGGAGCTGGGAAGTGGGAGACTGGATTCTAGGGATCGAAGGGAGACCTTAATGTGGAGGCTCTCAGGGGGCGCACCCTACCCCAGGCATCTAACCGCCTGAGTGTTCTTGTGTCCTTAGGAGACATGCCCTCCTGTAGACACCCTTTTATGTATGCCCAGGAAGCAACAGGATTGCCTCCAGTATTAGAAACTGCGGGGGGGGGGGGTTGGGAGGGGTCCTGATTACTATTGTTTTTCTTGGGGATGTGAGCAGACTGGGCTGGACATAATTAGAAAAGACAGAGACTGCATTACATTATTTATAAAAGTCTTTGGATTCCTTAGGAATGGTAACCTTGCAAAATAGAAGAGGCTTGGACTTGCTTTTTATGGAACACAGAGGAATTTGCAGGACACTTGGGGAAGAATGTTGCTTCTATGTGGACCATTCCACATAGAATAGTTACAAGGATCCTAGATGAGTTAAGAAAATATATTGATTCATTTAAGTCAAGGGCCCCCTATGAGACCTGGTTTAATTGGTCCCCTTAGCTTACCATACTCATCACTTCCTTAATTGGGCCGATGGCTATTTGTTTATTGATCTGTCTTTTTGGCCCATGCATTCTCCAAAAGCTGAAACAAGCATTCCAAAAACAGATACAACAGGTACAACTATGGCCTTTTGCGTACATTATAATAGGCTCAATACATCTCACCCCACAGATGAACTCTCAATTTGAGGATATCCAGGCCAAAACCCTGGCTAGGGGTGACCCTGACCTATACTCTCTTTCTCTGGTGGTCTATTCTGGCTTGGTGACTGGGGTAGGGGGTGGGATATAAAACAAAAGGGAGAGATGTTGGGCCAAAATTATCTCTGGGTCTATACCTCAAGACCTGTAGGACAGAGAAAAGCCTATCTTGAGTTTGAGGGAACCAAGTGAGGATGAGACAGCAAAATCTAGTAGATACCCCTCCAACCAGAGGAAGGGCTTGGCTGTCTCTCATTGACTGGAGGTACTCTCACATCACATGATGTCACTTAACATATATAAGCAGACACTCACAGTAATAAAATATGTTCCTGCTTTGACTTAACTCCCTATCGCATCAGATTGTCCTGCATCATGAGGCTGTGAAAGGGCAGGTAGCACACACACCTTTCCCTGGACAATAAGGAGGCTAAGGAGGCCTAACAGCTTCCCTGCTCTGGAATGAGACATGTATCCATACAATGTTAACTTAGAACTGTTTCCAAAGCAGAATGTTGAATCCCTGCCTTGGAATAAGTTCAGAGGTCAGGGAGATGCCTCTGTTGTAAAATGTCTGCCACACAAGAATGAGGACTTGAATTTGGATCGCCAGCACCCATGCAAAACTCAGGTATGATGGTGACTGTCCCTAACTGTAACACTGGGAGATGAAATCAAGGGATCCCTAGAGTTCATTGGTCAGCCAGCCTTACCCAGTTATGAGCCTTGGCTTCAGTGAGAGACCCAGTTTAAAAAAAATAGAGAGAAATCAAGGAAGACAGCCAACATCGACCTCTGGCCTCTACAGAGGAGCATACTTGTAGATACACTTGTACTCGCCCACACAAATGTACATACACCAATAAAAGAAAGAGATGGGGAGGAGGGGGAGGAAGAAGAGAAAGGGGAGAAAGGGAGAGGGAGAGTAAAGAGAATCGGGTACAAATTCAAAGAAACATAGCACAGAGGTCTACATTTATCTCTGTTTATGTGGACAGCACAACCCCAAGCCCCTGTGAGTCATGGAGCAGAAGAATAAAAACCAACGAGACAGGGGGCTGGGAGTGGATGATTCAGACAAACAAGTGGACATACTTAAGCCTCAATTAAATTTACTCATTTCTGCCACCAAGTTGGAAGAAACCAGTGAAAACACTCTTGGCAAACAGACATTTTTAAATGACCTGAAAAGGTCACTTGCTTTTGTGGTTTACGAAAGGAATGAAGAGAGTGTACGGAACCACGTTGACGTTAACTGACCCCAGTTCATTGATAAAATCAACGAACCTCCAACTCACTTAGGTGGAGCCAAAAATATTTAGCGGTCGTATTTATTTATAAGCTAGTAAGGACTTGTTTAAAACCCATTAACAGCTTTTAAATCCTGAGCTAGGACTGTGTCTTAAACTCACTGCACCCTCCTCCACTGCCCTCTCAACACCATATTTCCAAGATATTTAGTCTAATATCCCAGTCAAAATGGTTACACTCCCCTCAAAGAGGACAGCTAATATTTTCCTTTTATTATTTTATTTGATAGTTATGTTCCTTTTCTTGAGAGTGAATCATATCTTTTACTTTTTAAAAATATGACTTCAACACGGGCTGCCTCCAACTCTTTGATTGGCTTTTGAGACCCTGCTTCTCATACTGGGTCACCTTTCCCAACCTTAATACACGGGCAGGAGCTAGTCTTACTGCAACTTAATGTTTTATCGATATTCATAGGAGACCTGCCCTTTTCTGGATGGAGAGGGAAGAGGAGGGGATTGGAGGGGGGAGAAGAGGTGGGGGGAAGACTGTGACTGGCATGTAAAATAAAAAGATGAATAAAAAATTTAAAAATACAAAAAGGAAAATAAGTAAAATAAATAAAAGATGACTTACAGATGTTAGGCATGAAAATATTGATTAATTGAATGACTTTAATTTCCTGTAATATACCATTGTATGAAAAGGGGTCTAATGATTTTAATTCTCAGGAAGGATTGTCAATAATCCAAATTGTTCTTGACCTTTATGTTTAGTGTGTTTGCCTTCCCACTTATATTGGAATTAGGCTATCAAAAATCTTTGATTTTTCCAAAACATGCAATTACCAAAAGGAAAGAGATATACCATAAGAATGCTGAGTGAGTAGCAAGAAAAAACACTTTGAGATTTTTTACCTTGACTCTTGTTTTGGTTTCTGGGAAAGACTTAATAATGGAGATTTGAATCAGAATTTTATCCAGGAGTGACCTCCGCAGGCATCTGTAACATAAAGGGGTAAGGAAGGAAATGTCAAGGAAAACCTGAATGTGACGTCGATGTGACATTGGTCTCAACAGATGCCATGTGGGCAAAGGTAGCCTTCACAGTTGCAGACTGAGCCAAATGAACCCAAAACACTCGAAGTCACCTAGTACTTAGATGCAGGGTACGTCCACAGAAAAAGCACGGGCTTGGATGAGGGGATTCCCCAGGGTCAAGATCAAACTCTTGCGAGGAACCGAGGCACTGGTCAGCAGAAAATGCTCAAAGTACTGAGAGGATGAGAGCTTCCATCACGGAGTGGGGGCTTGTAGGTGGGACATCACGGTACTCCACACACAGGGCAATCCAGAAAGCAAGTAAACTACTTGTATGGCTAATGGAGAGGAAGTATCTAAATAAGTCATCACTGCTGTTTAACCCAGAAACTTAAGTCACTGGGTCATGTTTTCAAGGTATTCGGGAAGTTGCCAGTGTGAAGTTATCACTTAAATAAAACAGTATCCATATTTATCCCGTGAAAAACAAGTTTGTCTGAGTAAGTTGCTAAGAAATCAACAGGGCCTCACAGCAAGAGGGTCTAACATGTCTAAACGACCTGAGATTAGCGTGCTAGCCATTAGTGTGGTCCACCATTAAGAACTCTAAACCTGAGACCCAGGGACTAAATATATGAGTCCATATTCTTCTGACTGTATATGAGATCCCTTAAGTTGCTCTAGAGGGCAGGGGTCTTCCCCCAACCACTGTTGTTGTCATTTGCATTTTTAGGGTGTGGTAACTTTTCTAAGCCAGTTTTTCTTGACTTCAGTGAAGACTAAGGTACTAACTACATAGGGTGACTCACAGATTTTCAGAATTATCACATATCCATGTATCCACAAAATCAGTAATAATAAGCAGTACTAACAATAGAATTGTCAAACTATATTCAAGTGTGACAGCTTGCAACTATGTTCAGTGAAATACTTTCTACAAAATATATCCAATAAAACCACCTTTTAGAAATTTAGGTTGTAACTCTCCACGAAGCTCAATAACACACTGAAGCAATGATCAGCCTCAGTTGTCCAGGCTCAGCTTTGCTAGACCATCATTTCAAACTCTTTCCGATAAAAACGTCTTTAGATAACATCTCTCTTGCTATACTATAATTAGGGTTTTTTTTTATTTTGTCTTAGAAATGTATACGTGAATTAAAATATATGAAGTGTCACTAATTGAAGCACATAGTCCCTAACATGATCTGATCAAATGAGTCTTAACTCTCTTATTGAATAATGTGTTCATCAAATGCAAACACATCTCAGAAACTGTCATTGCTTCCGTGGGCATTAACGTTAGTACCCTGGCCCAGAAGACTACTCTTAGCATGCAAGTGGCAAGCTCTCTGCTTCATGTTTTACCTCTAAAGTATCATTAGGTGGGGCACCTCTTGAATCTTAGTGGCCTTCTTAAAAATATCACAGGGAGGACAGCAGAAATTCAGCCAAAACTGAGCTGTCCTAAATCTAACTCTCCCAGGGGTATTTTTGAAAATGTTTTTATTGTTTTTTTCCTTGAGAATTTCATACAATGTGGTCTAAAGATATTTTCAGAATACCCTAGTGAGTTGAGCAGAAAAGCTTCAAGATTTTCCCATGTCTCTTGGCTTTCTGTATTTCACTCAGCTAATGACTGAGAACTTTTTTCTTTGAAAGAACAATTTTTCTAGTTCTTAAGAAAATGAAAGGATAATCATTTCCCACATGGTCTGTGAATAAAATTATCACCTGTTTGTACATGCTATGCGTGTGATAAAACATGTGTGAGAAAGAGAGACAGACAGAGACGAAGGCATAAAGAGAGACAGAGAAAAAGTTTAGTGCTGTGACTGCTAGAAAAGAAATAGGGTGATTTTCTCTTTCCATAAGATCACCGGTTCTTGGGTTGCAGAGGAAATATTGACAGAATCTGAAACTTAATTAACTGTTATCAAGAGATTATTATTCAGATAGCTGAAAAGCTGTTAGCCAGTACTCACCCCCGCCAACTCTCCTCAACCAATATCTTGGAAAGAGCTGAAAGTCATTGCCACCTTTCACAGAGGAGAAGTCACAGAATTCTTTAACTAAAAGAATTTTGAAAATATCTAGTTCATGGCTTAATTTTTAGGGACCAAGAAAATGTGAAAACATGAAACATATTTTAGACATATCTTTAGAGTGTTATTATTGTATTGTTGTTGTAAATAAAAAATACAGTACAGAAAGTAAATAGAAAACACATTTTTTAAATGTCCTCTTGCCCATTCCTGCTGAGATGGAAATTAAGGGTTATTTTTTCTATGTTAGGATTGCAAAGTACAGCTGCAGCAGACACTCCTTGTTATAAAAATTCATGGTAGCACACCCTTTAAATCTCAACACTTGGGAGGCAGAGGCAAGAAGATCTCTCTAAGTTCAAGGCCAGACTGGTCCACATAGTGAGTTTCAGGCCAGCCAGAGCTATATAGTGAGACCATGTCTCAAGAGACCAAAGTAAATCAAAACACTAAATGCATCATTTACATTAAAAGTTAACTCTGACGTGCTGCAATTTTGTAATCAAATTAAATTAAGTTATTCTCTGCTAGAGAGTCCAACAATTTGTTTACTTTAAACCTCAAGAATGTCAAATAGTCCACCCTAAAAACATACATATAAATAACATTACACACACTGAACAGGTATATTTAGGAAGTTATATTTGCATGTAGAAATAATTAACAAAAGAAAGCCCATGAACTTTAAAGAGAACAGTGGCATATAGGAGGGCTTAGAGGGAGGAAAGGGAAGGGAGAAATGACGTAATTATATTATATCTCAAAAATTAAATAAATAAAAAGGTTTACAACTTTAATGCTCAGATTGTACAGTATTTGAGCTCTGCTTTAATGCTATAAAGCCTTCTCCCTGACTTTGACCAGAGTGCCAGGGTGTGTATAACCGTTCATGTCACAGAAATAGCGAAGTGAGTCAACACAGAATGTGGCATCCTAAAACAATAAACGGCAGGATAACAGGCTTAGAAGGACTAGAAATCATCTAGGAGCCTTCAACATATATTTAATAAATCCTGGAAGCAGAGAAATTAGATAATGTGTCCAGGGAAAATAAGTATTGGTCATATTGAGTGTCATCTTCCTCTATTACAAAACAAAGGCAGCATGAATTGGACCACTGACCTTCTAGGAGATGTGAGGTTTTCAAGGATACAGGTCTGAGGAGACAGCTCAGTGGATAAGAGCATGCGCAGAGTGTGATGACCTCCATTCCCAGAACCTAGTAAAAAGCCAGGTGAAGAAATGTGCCTGTGATCCTCACTGAGTGAAGGACAGGGGTGGGTACAGAGACAGGAGAATGGTTGGGGTGTGCTGGCCAGAGAGTCCAGAAGAAAACCAAACAAAACAAAAAAACAGAGGTCAGTAAGAGGCCTTGTGTTATCTCAAGGGAATCAGGCAGAGTGTAGACATTCAACATTCTCTGGCCTCACCACATGACAGCACAAATACAGGTATGTACAAACACGGACACACATATCTGTACACACACACACACACACGTTCACCATGGACACAATCATGGTTTTTTTAGAAATAGAGAAAATGTCAAAATTGAAATAAAGTGATCTAGACAAATGTACCATTATTAAGTTGTCTGAACATCAAAGAAAATGTAAAGCATTACTTGAAAAATAACATTGCATTTTTGTCAAGAAAATCCAATCTGACCTGCTAGTTCAGTCTCACCAAATGTATTAACCGAGTCATAGAAGATCTCAGACTGAGCTTCCTCACCCTCAAAAAAGGGAATACAATGCACTGGCTTTCCAACATTTCATAGCTGAAAGTCTGAAATGGGAATGAATGAATTCATGGCACAGGTGGGAGTAAACATTAAAGTGCTGTCACTTCTGCTCTGTGTGGCTCAGTTACACAGTATCACAAAGAAATGGCAGTTCTGCAAAATACACACAGGCAGGGGCCCTGCCATCATCCGGCCTGTCTGTCCTCGTATTTCAGAAAACCTGCTGCACTGGTTTCTGGACTGCATGTCCCTGATCACCTTCCTTTGGAGACATGCTTCTTAAACTTTCACCATTTCTAATTGGAGTATTTGACTCTTTTTATTTATGTACGTATTTATTTTGTGTGCATGGTATGAAGGTTTCAGATCCCCTGGAACGGGAGTTACAGACAGTTGTGAGCTGCCATGTGGGTGCTGGGAATTGAACCCAGGTCCTCTGGAAGAGCAGCCTCTTAACCACTGAGGCATCTCCCAAGCCCTGAGTACTTGCCTCTTTATTGCCAGTTTTTGACAGGCTTCACATGTTCTGGAAGTATAAAGTACAAACACGGCCTCCTCGTCTATTGCTGCTCCTTTCACTTTCTTGAGGCATCGTCCAAAGAACCAGACTCGTCGTCGCCATGCTCCATACTTTCGTCCTTTGGAGCGTCCACTCTCTTGCCTGTTTTGATTTTGAACTCATTCAACGTATGTACAATAGAGAGGAGAATAAACGTGGTCCAAGGATGGGTGGACTACCCTAAAGCCAATTGCGTCTTGACTAGACATAAAATGTAAAGAATAACCATGCCTTACATAAATTCAGTAAATTCTGTGCTCTCCCTCCAGCCTACATTTTTACTCCATCTACCCACTTGCTTCTTGTCTAAGTTTCTTTTGGAGGATATTATGATTTGAATCAGAAATGTTCCCCAAAGTTCACGTGCTGAAGGCATCTGATGCACGGGTATTCAGAAGTAAGGCCTTTGGGGTATGATAGAACAATAAGGACTCTGAGAATCTCTGTAGATTAATCCTTTAACCAGGTTTCATTTATTAATAGTTCATTCAATAGGCACTAATTAGTTAATCTCCTGATGAAGGCAGTGCTTTGGTTTCCAGTCACATCTCAATAGTGATACCTCATAGAGGCCAACCCTACAACCCTACAGAAGCCTTTGGTAGAGTATTTCATATGTGAAGTCATAACAACACCTACGAAAGGGAGATTGGGGACATCTGAGTAGTTCACCCACCACACAGTGTAACTGAGCTACAGTGGTTTAGAACCATTTTCCAAGTTGCACAACACAAAACCATGATTGATCCAGAATGAACAAATTATCAACTCTTTCCAACCAATGTAGCCATCTTCATGACTTCTAAAGTAAGAAAAGTTGGAGACATATCTAATATGAGAACAGCTTATAAAAATGTCGCTACCTGGTAGAAAGAACAGGGTCTGTCTATTGCAACACATAGCACCTCTGCAAATCTGTAGGACTTTAAAGCTATTGTTTTACAGTAAATGTATTTCATTGCAAGTCAGGGTGATGGAGCTGGAGAGACAGCTTAGCAGTTAAGAGCACTTGCTGCTATTCCAGAGGACTGGAGTTCAGTTTCCAACAGTCACATAATGCAGTTCCTAACTGCCTGCAACTCCAGCCCTAGGGGATTTGAAGCCTCTGATCTCCTCAAGCACCTGCACTCATGTGTACGTAGCCACATGCAAATACTCAGGCACACACACACAACTAAAATATAATAATCTTAAAAATAGACATTTTTAAAGGAGTCACTGTCATTTAATATGGTGATACATAAAGGTAACGAAATAATAGGATTTTAATCCATTTTTAATTTCTGTATACATGCATAGTTACACACACTTCCCATAATTAAATACTAAATATATAAACATCATTGTTCTACAGTGTATACCTATGCTTAGTTCCTGCTTTAAACACTGCAAATTCTCATAATACAGTTAACCCAAAGTCTGGGGAAATGTGCTGTAATATTGTATTACATTGTCCTTTTTCAAGTGAACAGTTTCAAACTAGAGTTTCGAGCAGGAGCAAGAATCGGTGGTTAAAAACAGGAAGTTCCATGAGTAAACTTGAAACCAGTGAAAATGCAGAAGATAATAAGGGAAATTCAGAAAAATCTGAAATTGTCCACAGATGTGACAGTTGTAACTATTTCCTCAGTTTTCCCATGTGAGCCTGGAGTGAAAGACTCTACTGGAAAACTCTACCAGGAAGGCAGCTATCAACGGAGGGCGGCCACAAGCTGTCCTCACTTGCCAACTTCAAGGATTTGCCTTAGTCTTGGGTGGATTTAATTAAGAATTGGTGATTTTGTTAAAGAGAAATTGGATAAGATCATGATGTTCACAGAATTACTGAAAACCGGTCAAACAAAGGCTAAACAGTCCAGAATTTAGTGAAAAACTCAAGCCAGAAGAGTCAAATTCATGAAGTTTTCCTCAAAGCAGATTTCATGTATACATACCCTTAGAGAAATGAAGACAAAGTGTTAGTGGCCAGTGGGGGTTTGAACTCTGGGAGAAATAGTAGAGGCTGGATGAGTGGTTTGGAGCAAGGGAAGTCCTGAAATCGTAATTTCAAAAAACTCCTCTTTCAAGTTTAGAAAACATACAAGCTGTTGGTGTGAATGAAGTGAACTGGTTGCTTTTTTAAGTCTTGAATTTGAATCAGTTTCAATAATTTGGTATTTCTTCGGTCTCTGACTGCTGTTTGTTGTGATGTGCTTGATGATCGTCGACACGTTTTCCCTGAGTTTCGTGCAGGTGTTGGAATCTGAGACACACAGAGCTGTAGGGGTGATAGGAACCATAACATAAACCATTGTCAGGCGTGAATGTCAAGCAACTTGTAGGAAGGCTGTGGAAATCACAGCTTCTCATAGGCTGCTTCCTGACTTTCAAAGTACTCGCGGGAGCAGTCCATGCATCTTGGATATGTCTCACTTTAGAAACATTCATGATGAACTCACATTTCTCCAACCACACCGATGACACACTGTCTTCACTAACAGAAGGGGCTGACTGGGGTTAAACTGTTGTTTTTCATCTTGAAGAACGGTTTAAAACGTGTTCAGTCTTATCAGCCAAAGACCTTCCGTTGCATCCAGATTCTCAGTTTATGATTTAAGACTGAAATAAATGCCTTCTGGAAGAATAGAAGATACAATTATGATTAAACCCCACTTGAGCCAAGCTAACTTTTCTCAGTGATGTTTGCTGGGATGCTTGATTGCTCCTGCTCCTAGACCCCATCCTGAAGAATGTGACATCAAATAGTTTTGTTATAAACCTGTATCCATACACAGTCCCCAAACCTGAAACTCCTCCCTGTTCTTAGGCTATTTCTGCTTCTGACAAAGTAACTATTATTGACAATAGGAACTCCAGGCTGCATGAGCCTACTTGACACAGCCTGGGGCACGGAGGAGAAGGCTTACAGACTTGTCCCTGGACTTGTTAGCACCCTCTATCTACCTCCTTCCTCTCTCCACTGCATCTCTTCATTTTTAGAATGTTTCCTTTATTTTCAAATACAGGGCAATTTGCCAGCTTATCTTCTCCTGAGCACAGTAATCCTCATGTCTGTGATTCGAACAGGGTTAGAAATAGAGACGGCTTCCCAGATGACCTCACTCTGTCCGCCCAGCCACAGTCGATGCTACTCTTCTTAGGACACGTGTTTCTTTGACCTCCCTGCTTTTCTTTTTTGTTTGGTTGGCTTTTGTTTTTGTTTTTCAAGACAGGGTTTCTCTGTAGCTTTGGACCCTGTCCTGGAACTAGCTCTTGTAGACCATGCTGGTCTCAAACTCACAGAGATCCGCCTGCCTCTGCCTCCCGAGTGCTGGGGTTAAATGCGTGCACCGCTGCCCGGTTCACTTCCCTGCTTTTCTAATCTAACCCAAGTAATGACACAACCTGAACAAACTTCCGCTTCATTTATTATCATTGTTCCTAGTGTTATTATTTCTCCTTCCTCCTCTCATAAACGATGGTTCTGTTGTCTACGAAACTTCTAAGAAAGATCTGTATATTAGATTTACTGTTTTAATTGAACCAATAAGTTCCAGGACCATAATAAATACAGTGCCTAGGTGTAGTAAAAGGAGCAGCAGGTCGCTTCCTGCCACCCAACTCCTGGCTAGCTTTACCCGAAATAATTACATGGAAACTGTATTCATTTAAACACTGCCTGGCCCATTACATCTAGCCTCCTTTTGGCTAACTCTCACATCTTAATTAACCCATTTTTAATAATCTGTATAGCACTATGTGACTGTGGCTTACCGGGATGAGTCTAACCTATGTCTGTCCCAGAAACGGAGGAGTATTTAGACTTTTCAATATCTAGCTTGGACACGGAATAGGCCTGCTTATTTTCCAGAAGATTTGATAGAGAAGTAAATAAAGGATGGAGCCATCTTGTGAGGGATTCAAAGGGCCCTTGTGAAGATGGAGTGAAAGCTGAATTTGTACTCTTTCAGAAGCATGGTGTGAACGGAAGAGAGATAAGGTTGGAGCCTGTTACAGCAGCAGGGTCATAGGAGGGTTATTATAGGATAGGGAGGGCCCTGGGCACATGTGTGGGTGGAAGAAAGACTGAAGATAAAATAAAGACAGGACAGGAAAGCTAGCAGACAACCGAGAGGAGGTGAGGAGTAACAGAACCAAGAGCGAGGCTCTTCGGGAGGAAGTCCAGCTTACCTTCCAAGGGAAAGGACAAGAGTGTCCAGGAGACACTGTGGGAAGAAAGTTTGCTTAGCCTCACAAGGACTGGCTACATCCTCAATTAAACATAGGACAGAAAGGATCTCTCAGAAGAGGGGGGACCTCATGTCTAAAAGGAAGCAAGTATGTTTATGTAGGTCAAAGAATAAAATTTGACTCTGAAAAATTATCAGACATCAGTTTCCTTAGCTACTTTCTATAACAGTTGCTCTACTTCTTCAAGAATTAAAACTGTTATTCTTGGGCTAGGAAGATGGTGGTTCAGTGGGTAATAGCACTTGCTATATAAACATGAAGACCTGGGTGCAATTCAAATCCCCAGCACCTACATAAAGCCCAGGCAAGACCACGTGCACCTGTAATCCCAGCATATGGTGGTATATTATTTGTGTTTTAATAAATAAATCTTGTCTGAAGAGCAGAGGCAAGGTATATTTATTAAATACCGCCACACTAACACTATGGGGAGTAAAATCAGGAGGATCACTGGGGTTTTCTGGCCACCAACTCAGTTCTAGATTCAGAGACTCTGTCTCAAAGAAATAAGATAGTGACCGAAGATGGCATCCATCATTCTCTGGCTTGCACATGCACACGGGGGTGTGTATACCCACAGATACACATGTAAGTACATCACATACACTCATACACCAAACACACAAACTGTTATTCTCTAAAAGTACACAGGGCCAAAGAGATGGCCCAGCAGGTAAGAGTAGGTACTGTTTTTTTTTTTTTAAAAAAAAAAAAAAAAAACAAGTTGGAGTTTCAAACCCCACATCCCCACTTGGGACAGTTCACAACTACCCATAACTCCAGATCAGGGATCCAGTGCCTCTGGCTTCCTAGATACCTGTGATCACGCACAGACACATTATTAAAAGTAAAATAGATATTTAAAAATAAAAGTGCAATTACAGCTCCTGAAAATGCCCTCATTTGGTCCCCTCTCCTGCATAGACGTGTCTTTCAAAGCCAATGACCTACTTGGGAGCAGGCCCAAGTCAGCAACCTCTGCAGGAGCAGTTATGAGGAAGCAACCTCCAAGTGAGCAGGCCCAAGTCAGGGACCTCTGCAGGAGCAGGTAAGAGCCAACGACTTCCACCTGAGCAGGTACAAGGGAACACCCTGCCTTGGAGTAAGCCTGAGCCAGCGACCTCTGCAGGACCAGGTCCAAGCCAATGACCTCAGTGAGAACAGGCCTAACCAAGCAACCTCCTTGGAAGCTCTGGGATTGCTTCCAAACAACCTCTGGGATTGCAGAGCAACCCCCGAGAGATCCAAGAGACAACTGGTGTTGCTGAGTGACCTCCAGGGTGACTGGAATGGTGGCCCCAACTCTACTATGAGGAACAACCATTTAAGCCTTGAATCCACTGACATCTAGAAGATTGATCACCAGAGACACAGACAGTCCCAACTACATCAATCAGAGTAAAAGATGGACAGACAAGGTAAGGACACACTCAACACCAGAAAGAGCAACACGACACCAACAAAAACTACTGGCTCTACAACAGCAAGACTTGAACACCCCAATTTAGATGAAGCAGAAGAAAATGACCTTTAAAATAATCCTAAGACAATGTATGAGGTCCTTAAAAAGGAAATGTGAAATTTCCTCAAAAAAAAAAAATGAAGGAAAATACCAACAAAAAATTGGGAGAAATCAACAAATTCCTTAAAGAAAACCAAGAAAAAAATAATAAAACAGATGAAAGAAATAATTCAAGACTTGAAAACTTAAATAGAGACAATAAAGGAAACACAAACCAAGGAAATTCTGAAAATGGAAACCATGTGAAATTAATCAAGAACCACAAAGCATAAACAGCAGAATACAAGAGATGGAAGAAAGAATCTCAAGGATAGAATATATGATAGAAGAAATAGACTCATCAGTCAAAGAAAACATTAAATCTAACAAAAGCTTAACACAAAATATCCAGGAAATATGGGACACCATGAAAAGACCAAACCTAAGAATAATAGGGATAGAAGAAAGAGAAGAAGGACTCAAAAGCACAGAAAATATATTCAACAAAAACATAGAAGAATAATTTCCCAACTTAAGATATGCATATAAAGATACAAGAAGTTTACAGAACACCAAATAGACTGGACCAAAAAAAAAAATCCTCTTACCACATAATAATCAAAACATTAAACATACAGAACAAACAGAACAAATAAAAAAGGCCAAGTAACATATAAAGACAGAGCTACCAGAATTACACCTGATTTCTCAATGGTAACAACAAAAGCCAGATGCTCTGGTCAAGTGTTATTCAAACCTTAAGAGACCACGGATGCCAGCCCGACTACTATACTCAGCAAAACTTTCAATCACCATAAAAAAACAAAACAAGATATTCCCTGACAAAACCAGATTAATCAATACCTAACCACAAAGCCGGCCCTGCATAAAGTACTAAGAGGAAAACTCTAACCCAAGGAAGTCAGTTACATCCAGAAAAACACAGACAATAGATGATCTCACATCTGCAAATCCCAAAGAACGGAAAAACACACAAAATAACATCACCAACAACGAATACTAAAATAACAGTAACTAGTAATCACTGGTCATTAATATCCCTTAATATAAATAGTCTCAACTCACCTATAAAAAGATACAGGCTAACAAACTGGATACAAAAACAGAAACATCACCACAGAGTAAAGGGTTGGGGAAAAAAAAAGTTCCAGTCAAATGGACCTAAGAAACAAACTGGTGTAGCTATCCTAATACATAAAAAAGTAGACTTCAAACTAAAGTCAATTAAAGGAGACAAAGAAAGACATTTCATATTTGTCATAGGAAAAATCCATCAAGAAAAAATATCAGTACTTAACATCTATGCCCCCAAATACAAGGGCACCTTCCTGTGTGTGTGGGGGGGGAAACACTGGTAAAGCTTACATCACACAAGAAATCTCACACACCAATAGTGGGAGACTTCAACACCCCCTCTCACCACTGGACAGGTCTGCCAGACAAAAATTAACAGAGAAATAAGGGAACTAACAGATATTGTAACTCAATGGACTTAACAGACATCTATAGAACATTCCATTCGAACATTAAAAAAAAAATACCTTCTTCTCAGGACCTCATGGAACCGTCTCAAAAATTGACCACATACTCAGTAACAAAGAAAACCTCAAACAGATACAAAAAATTAAAATAACCCCATGTATCATATCAGATCACCGAGGCTTAAATTTAGAATTTAACAGCAACACTAATTCCAGAAAGCCCAAAAACACATGGAAATTAAACAATGCTCACCTGAATCATCAACGGATCAAGGAAGAAATAAAGGGAGAAATTAAAGACTTCCTAAAATTCAATGAAAATGACCACACAACATACCCAATTTATGGGGCACAATGAAAACAAGCAGTGTTAAGAGGAAAGTTCATAGCACTAAATGCCTATATAAAGAAACTGGGAAAATCCCACACTAGTGAATTAATAGAACACCTGAAAGCTCAAGAACAAAAAGAAACTCACCCAGGAGAACTAGATGGCAGGAAATAATCAAATTGAGAGCTGAAATCAACAAAATAGAAACAAAGAAAACAATACAAAGAATCAATGAGACAATGAGTTGGTTCCTCGAGAAAATCATCACAATAACCAAGCTAACCAGAAGGTAGAGAGGGAATATCTAAATTAACAAAATCAGACATGAAAAAGGGAGACATAACAGCAGACACGGAGGAAATCCAGAGAAATCAAGTCAAACTTTGAAAACCTGTACGCCACAGACACACATAGAGACAGACAGACAGACAGACACACACACACACACACACACACACACACTGCTAAATAAATCAGATTATAAATTAAGTTAAAAAAAACAGTTCTCAGAGCTGTAAAACTAATGAATGCTTCTTGTTGCTTCTTTTCATCACTAAATGCTCATGTTTATTAGTGCTCTCTATGAAGGTGTGGGGCAAAGGAACAGTTACGCTTGTTCCTCAGATCAGCCTCATGCTGTGGGTATCGCTATCATTCTCATCCTGAAAACAAGCAAATAAGGATTGGGGCAAGGGACTTCTCCAGGGTCTCAGAGAAAGAGGAGAACCAACATGAACCCGGCTTTAAACTAAAAGTTGTCTATCTAAACACTAAGGGGAACAACTTGGTTGGATTTTGCTAAATACAGGATATATTTTTGTTCTCTTTCTTGCCTGGTTTCTCTCCCTAACAGTATTTGAAACTAGATATAAAGCATCCATAGAGCTGTCTGGAACATTCTATATACTTAAAAGTGTGAAAATAAGTTTGAAATACTGAGATAAATTTTAAAAAGATTAATATTTGGAGACGAGGCTATAGCCCGGTGATAGAATGCTTACCCGCATGTAGAAGGCCTTGGGTGTTTTTCTTCATTCTCCACTACGACTTTATTTCTACTGCTCTTCCTAGTTCTCAGTAGTTCTTGATATTGGCAGATATCCAAGTCTAAAGGTGTGACTATTTATGTGAAATGACACTATAAAATGCTTTTCATAAAAACAGACACTTTTTGCAAGCATGGGAGTGCCATGAAGACCGGCATTCTTTTGTCAGCGCCAACCCGGGAAGATCTGAGCCCAGAACGTCATTCGACGAGTGGTGCTACTCAGTGGCTCATTCACAGGCTAGTCTCTGGGTGCGTTCTGTCTGCTTAACCCCGTTCTCAGACAAGGGATGGAGAGAGAGAGGTGTGAGAGGAAGATAAACCAGCTTGGTAATAGCAAAGCAGAGGAAATGAGAATGGCTAAGCAGCAGCTTGATACAACGCGTGTATTTCAGCCCGACTTCCCAATATGGGCTCATTTCCTTTTTGCATCAACATGAAGCCTCAGATGAAACCACAGAGTGTATTCCATTTCAAAATGAAACTCATGACACAGCGAAGCAATGAGTCATCCTCGGAGTCTGTGAAATTTCAATCCCAGCGGTTTAAAAACCAACTGGGTCTTTTCCATCATTAAGCTGTATTGTGAATTCTCAAGCTTTTTTTTTTAAAAAAAAAAAATCATCATTTATTGCCATTGAAATTTCAGAACTCTCCTTGTATTGTAACTTTCCTGTTGATACAAAACTGAGTTTGGAGCAAAAGTGAAAGAAAGTCGGGAAGTTGTCCTGGCCTAGATAATGGGAAGAAAGCAGAGACTGAATCCCAGTTTTTCCACACTGACTAGTCTGGAAACCTAACCTACATGACAGCTGTACTTATCTGCATATTTTAGGACATTTTTTTCTAAGTTAACAAGAGGCTATATCCTTTTACTTTGGACTGCAAAGTCAAACAACTAGACCCAGGAACTCTCACAGTAATGAATGCAACCAAAGTCAGCAGCACATTTCAGAACTCATGATGAGGTCACAAAAGCAGCTTCCTATGTTAAATGGGTAGCAACGTCATAATTGCTTGTCTGTTGCTCATCTTCCTTTTAGGGTGGAAAAAAAAGCCTCAATGGTTTCTCAGAGTCAGAACACCAGTCAGCCAGTCACTGTGAACCAAAACTCCAGCACAGTTCATTGGATGCCCTTACTAAATGGGCATCCTAACACAGAAAAATAAGTCCACAAATCCCAAGAGGAAAGTTGACATCTGCCCCAGTAGAAAAGAAACAAAGTCATCTTTTCCCCAACTTTCAGCTCGTTTTCAAAGTCCTCCTTGTGTATCCCAGAGCACACGAAATCCGTGTGGCCTTGTATCTTTCCCCATAACTCCAGTCTTCACCGCCATGGTCAGCACTTCTCACAGCTGTGGACACGCATTCCCACTCAGGCCTGCCAACCACAGTGACATAAACAGTGCACAGAGGAGCCAGGAAGTTAAAACCGTCACAGAGGCCTCAGATCACATGTAAACTGGGTGATAACTCCCATGGCCCTGACATGCATGAAGCCAAGACATTTAGTAGAGGTGGCATTGGAAAATCCTAAAGAATCACAAACGGTGAAAGAAAAATCTAAGACCTCCTTAATTTCTAATGACAACATGTCAAGCTAAGGGAGGTGCTTAGATTTTATAACTGCCAAGACCATGGTTTTGTTCAAGATCAAGGCCCTTCCTGAACAGCTATCATATAGAAAGTGAGACACCAGAACCACGACTACTCTCAATATTCCTCCATCAACCCTACCAACTTTCACGTAAACTTAGATCAAATTCTAGCCTTTTCATTCTTCCTTCCTTGCTTCTTTCTTGACTTTCTTCATTATAAATAAAGTCATATCTTATTCCAGAATGAGGTGTGTGGGTCCAAAATGTGGGGGGAAAATGTCATGTATTTCAAATTACCCTTGAAAGCCCCTGAAGTCTCCCACTGAGTTTGTGTCTCCTCTGGGTGATCTTATCAACTCCCCTAATATTTCTCTAATCTCTCTCTCTCTCTCTCTCTCTCTCTCTCTCTCTCTCTCTCTCACACACACACACACACACACACACACACACACACACACACACTATATTTTGAAACAGGATCTCTTATATCCCATCCTGGCCTTAAACTCACTATATAGCCAAGGATGACTTTAAACTCTTGATCCTCCTGCCTCAGCCTCCCAAGCACAGGGATTACAGATATGAGCTGCCTAGTCTGACTAAAGTGTTTTAATTTTTCAGTTCCTATATTAAGAGACAATAATCTTTCCCCACTCATCGAGTCCTTTGAAAACATTTCATATATTTACCGTCGGTCAGAAAAACTCTAAAAGCGTTTATGATAGAGCAATCGTATAATCTTCTTATGGATTGTCTTCCAAGACATTGACTTTTTCAGACTTGATTAAGTCTTTTCCTAGTAGTTTGGACAAATAAGTATACCACTAGTCACCTGCACCTTCCTCCATCTTTCTGTCATCCCTCCTGCATCCCTGACTCTGCCTCTGTTCCCACGTCTTTCCATTCTTAATCCTTTTTTATTCCACGAAGTTCAATTCAGCTTACTTAAAATTATCACCCACTAAGGAGCATGTGTAAACCCAGTTTTCCTTCCTTCACAATAACTCCTTTTTATTGCTCTCTCTCTCATCCATTTCTTTCATGGACTCACGTCTTTGGTGCATGCTCCTTTTGCATTAACTCCATACTATCCTCCATTGCAAGGGTTGCTAATCCATGCTCACAGTAGGTCAAGTTCCTGTTTCAAGGAATTTGCTTTTCAAAGGAATGCACTAGCACTGTGCGACACCATTACGACATACTGCAAACGAGACATGACGTGTGCCCTCAGAGACCATCATGGCTGAGATGTGGAAAGCAGCTGGTAGGGAGCCGAGAAAGGGCAAAAGTGCAGGAACAGACTTTTATGGAGGAGGAGGAGGAGGAGGAGGAGGAGGAGGAGGAGGAGGAGGAAGAGGAGAAAAGGGCAATGCTGAAGAAACCCAAAAGACACACTTGAGATAGAACTAACTGAACTCTCACCCACTTTACAGTGAAGTTTTCTTTCCTTACCAAATCTCAACTGGTTCCCTCAGGGATTTCCCCATAAAAGCTGATAGCACTCTAGAACTCCATAAGTGAAGGTCAGAGGCAGCCTTATTGAGTAATCTGGTTAGTTTGCCTGCAAATAAACAGAGTAAGTATAGTTAATGAGTTTACTCAAGGATTTGAGGGCCCCGGTGCAACAGTATCAAAGAAGAGGAACTAATTGCAGACCTGGTATGAAAACTAAAGCACTGTTTTAAAACAACCATGGAGTTAAAAGTGCTAAAGTCGTGATTAAATAGCTGTCACTCATAATTCTCATATACTGCCTGAAAACCCCCTCTGATACCTCAGTGGGAAAAGGCAAGGCTAGAGTGCTGGCACCGGCTGAATCTGCCAGGCACCTATTCATAAAGCCACTCAGAAGGAAATTCAGACTGCCTGAGCATATTTTAAAAGGACTTGTGTATGTCACAGGGGGAAATTTTCTCTACTTTTTTGTTCAAAAGCAAATGAATAGACCGGAAGTAGGCTCGAGTCGCCATTTCGCTAGATCCAAGCTTCTTAAAACTGTGCGTCACAGCCGTCATGAGGTCGGGAGTTCACTGCAGTCCTGGTTCTGAGCTCACAGTATGACACTTTGCACTGTGTGCACCAACAGGCCCCTCAGCAAATGGCTCAGGGTCAAGACCGTCATGTCTGGTTGCAATGTTTTACAGTACCTTCACGGTTTCTACCTTTATAGAAACAGTGGCTTTATAGAAAACAAAATCTCTTAATATTTTCCTACCTTCATTCCTTAGAATTAGTATACCTTTGGATTATATTGTATTAGAATGTTTGGTTTTAAAAATTGCCATTTGAGTTGATGACACATTAACCACAGGAAGAGGAAATCCATCTGTGAAGAATGACCCCATCAGTGGGGTGACTTACATGGCCAGTGACAGTTCAATCTTTACAATGTCTCTTCCAGTTTAGTGCAGCTGCCATTTTTCAAAGGCACTAAGCCAGGCTCAAGTCCAAGTGAACAGAGCAGTTACTGGGCATACCTGCCTAGAGCCAAACAAATTTCTTGAGCTTTGCAGATAAGCAGTTGTTAAGAAATCAAGAAAGAATGGCCAACTGAAAACGACACTCTGAGCTGCCTGTGGGGGAGCATTAATGTTACCTATCATTACTATTTATTAGATTGGTTACCTAGCTGCATCATAAACCACATGAGAACACACTGGCATCAGCACACGGTTCTGCTCCTCATTCTGAGTGTTATACCCTGAGTGTAACAGGGTACATAGGAGATGATTTATGTCTGCTCTCGGGCATCTGAACCTCAGTCTTGATGTCTCTGGAGGCTGCAGAGTGACTCGAAGGTTATGCCTGGGACAATAGAAACAGGACACTCCACTTTCAGTCTCACATCCTTTACTCTCATGGCTGGGTTCCCGCCTCGGTGACAGAACAAATTCAGCTGGGACTGACAACTAGTGTTCCTATGTATGCCGTGCTGGTTTGTCACACGACACAGCTAGAGTTATACAGGAAGAGGGAATCCTAACTGAGGAGCTGGTTCTGTCAGGTAGCCTGTAGGCAAGTCTATGGGGCATTTTCTTGATTAATGATGGATGTGGGAGGACCTAGTCCATTGTGGGCAGCACCACCCCTGGACAGGTAGTTCTGGGTTACGTAATAAAGCACACTGAGGAGCTAGAGAGATGGCTCAGAGGTTAAGAGCACTGGCTGCTCTTCCAAAGGTCCTGAGTTCAACTCCCAGCAACCACATGGTGGCTCACAACCATTCAAGATGAGATCTAGCGCCCTCTTCCAGCCTGTAGGCATACAGAACATTGTATACATAATAGAGTATTTTTAAAAAAGAAAGCACACTGAATAAGCCATGGGAAGCAAATCAGTAAGCAGCTTTCCTCTGGGGTTGCCGCCTCCTGATTCCTGTCCTAACTTCCCTCAACGATGGACTATATTCAGGATCTATAAGCCAAATAAGCTCTTTCCTCTCCCCTCCCCTAACCCCTGCTATATTTGATTGCAATGTTTTATCACACAAACAAAAAGCAAACTAATGTATGTGTCTTCCCATCTGGCAAGCTACAAGTAATCAGACTTCTTTAGTGATGGTTCAAGGAACTTAAAGCAAGCGATAACAGTGAGCAGAAAAGAAACTGTGCCTTGCTACAGAGATCCGGACTGAGAGGTCTGCAGACCCTGGAATGTCTTCTGCTTCTGCTGTCCCTTTTACATATTTGCTATTGCAGCTTCTCTCTGACTCCTGACATAATGTGAGTGAATGTGGGGAGATTCCCCCATTGCTTGTAATGTAGTGTGTTTATCTAATGGAAAACCCCGATCTACTGGACATTTTTATCTGTGGATTGTCAAGAAGATGACCCATCCCTAAGCTGTACTGTCTAACTGACAATTATGATGATAGCATATACAGAGTTTTAATGAATAAAAAATATATACAAAGAT